GTCTATCTTAGACATGCACCAAGTCCACACATAATGCAGGGGATAAGGATGTAAAAGTATTAGATTTATATTGGATTGCATCTGCATCTGCATTCAATTATGAAATCTCTAGATCCACATTTGCATCCAATTATTGTGTCAGATTTTGACCAGATTTGGATTTAACTTGCAACCATCTTATTGTGTTTAAAATGACGAAAAAATAAAAATATTAAAAAAAACTAATTACTTTTAAAGTATATATGTATAATAAATGTATATAAATATAAAATAATATTTTTTTCAATTATAAACTTTATATAATTATATGTTGCTACCTAGGATGGGTTGAGGGCAACAAGGTAAATCTACTTCGGAGTCGAGGGTTGGCTGATGCATCTGAGGTTCACTGTGGCCAAGGGCTGGTAGGTCAAACCTGTGAAGTAAGAGAGAACGTCAGAGGCCCCGGGTGCTAACCCGAGGCGGAGACTCCAACGGTCAAGTTAGTGTAGGTGAGACAAGAGGTGGACAAGGCCTGAGGATGGGATGCTCAGACGAGGCCACCAAGGAGGTAGACGTAGAGAGTCTAGGTTCTTACCTTGGGGGGGTGTCACCCCCTATTTATACTTGAGACTGCCTGGAGGTAGGTGGACACGGACGGCCAGGACGTGGTCTGCCCTTCAGGGCGCAGCCATCCGAGGTTGCCATGTAAAACCGTGTTATTCGCCCTGCGTCATGTGCCGGCCTCTGCTCTACGCACACATTCATTGGATCCGCTCTGAGCACCTCCTTCTTCCACGCACGTGCATGCCATTGGCCCGAGCTATAAGCACCAACATCATTTTCCCCCCCCCTCGAGGCTATGGTCGAGGTCTTAGCTGAGGACCTTGGCTTTGGCTGAAGATAGTGCATTATCTTTATTGGGAGGCGCTGATGGGCCTTCTTTGGCAAGGGCCTCGGCCTTGGCTTCGGCTTGTCGAGGATACACTTAGTCACTTAGTCTTTGAGCGGTGACACCAACTTGGGCTCCAATTCCCCCTCCGAGGAATGTTGTGGTGATTCTGTCATGTGGAGGCCTCGGCCTTGGCTTTGGTGAGTTCGGGCCTGTGCTAGATACTATCACGAGGGGTGCTTGCCCCCAGGTCCTGCACTTTACGGATGTAGTAGTGAAATTGTACGAGGCATCGGCCTTGACTGGTGGTCGCCGAGGGTGACACTTGGTGGCAGGTAATCGTGCATTAACCAAGCGTTGTTAGACAGTTTTGTATGCCCTTAGCTTCAAACA